GCACAACAAAACACAAAACTACATTATGTAGGTAAGGAGAGGCTCCCTAATAAGGAGTAGGGAGCGCATGAAGAAGGCGCTTAGAGGTACGAACACGTACCGTTACTGCCGCAAGTGCTAGAGCAGATGATGGCGATACGGCTGACTCCCCGGGCAGATTCAGAGTGCCGAAAAGACCCCTTCGTTCGTGTAACATCCCTCGTACCAGCATTATTGCGATTAGATGGCCTCATAAAAGACTGCAAAACCTAAAAGGGACGAAGAAATAGTAAATCCATCAACAAGGGCGGATAAAGCGGTTTCGCGCTAAATCCGATGGTCATTGCATTCGTTTTTGACATGAGATAAATGGGCTTATTTGACATTTGTTTGACTTGACATGACGGTGTACCTCGTGATATCTAACCTTGATTGAGAAGTTGCCTCAAGCTTAGTTGCACAATCTTCCTATTTGAGTCGTATTGATGAGCCTCACGCAACAGACAAAAGTCAGTTTGATCACGCAGGTATAGGGGACCCTTTTGCCGGTCTAGTGAAATGAATGGAGACTTTTCGCCTTGCTTCTGCTCCTGTCTTGTGGTCGCTTACTAAGAAACCTGACTGAAGAGCAGCTTTGTCCACCCTTGTTGGTTGGCTATTATTTTCTCAAGATTCTGACTCCCTTCCGCTTCTTTTCCTAGTCTCCCCGCACATGGATTCCAAACAGTCATTTTCCATCTATATCAGCTTGTAGACTGATAACATCAAACTGCTGCTATTATGGAGAATTTGGAAGCCTTCTCTAATCACTAGAGCTTTAGCTTGAAACCATTGCTTGTGGGGTGCTCCCTATTCCCTTTGCTTCTTGTTTTCGCGTCCCTCCGCCCCCGTATACATAGAAGGTTCAAGGCCCCTTCCCTAAAGAACGACTCGCCGATCAGTCAAAAGCAAAGTCATTCCGAAAGGAGTGGTCGAGGAATTACTGTCTACCCTTGAACCAGAGTAGCTGTTAACAAAGAACCTGAAAGGTAAAAAGCGAAACCTACTAGTAGAACATTTCCTGTCAGTCGAGCTTGGTCAGATAGATTGACCATTTTCCTCTGTCTAGTCCAATGACAACGGAATCTCGATTCAAGTATGGCACAAGTCTGATTTCAAGGGCACTTCTACGCTGGCACCCACGCTAGGCTTCCCGCAGTGACAGCTGAGATATTAAGCGTCACTGGAACACCAACCTAATCTCACTTTTTGGAACCTGTGCAACAACGGAATAACGAGAAAACGCCTTCGTCAAAGAGCTTTAGTAGGCAATTCCCTTCTCTACTAGCATATGCTTTCGTTTCTATACGAAATATGAATTTCTTCCGCTGTAACTTGAGTGAGCAACTTTCCCTTATTTCAGAGAAGAACAGGCGTGCAACTTTTTTGAAAGATCACCGGTCAATAGCTTTTTCGGTTGCGATGTTCAGAATAGATGATGAATTCGGGGGCGTAGGTTCAGGGCAGCAAACAGTCGATATTCTACTCGAATAAGGAAAGAAGGTTGAAAGTATGCGTCAACTGGCAATGAGTTTACGAAACTAAAAGAGAGTTTTTCGTCTTTTGAAGGTTCTTGTGCGGGTGGGTGGTTCGAGATGAAGTTGGTGTTCCGGCGCTGCTTAGTCTCTCAATGGATCGGTTCTTCGCTCTTTTATTTCCTTATATAGACGAATTCTCTTTCATTGGAAAATCGCTCTCCTTTTCTTCGCCCAAAGCTCCTTTTTCGGGCTAAAGTGGAGAAGCAGTTTTCGATTTCCTGTCGCATCTTTCCGACTTCATTTTCTGAGATTTCTTTTCTTGTTCCGTGTTGGGTCGTACACTATTTGAATGGTTTGGTTCCGTTCTTTTCTTTTTTCCGGTATGCCGCCTTTTGATTTGATGGGCGAGCAGATAAATCAAGATTTTATTTTCACATGGTATTTCTACTCATATTTTTTTTCTTTTTCATTTACTTTTGCTGTCTGCATCTTCTGAAGGGGCGTGTCAACCTTTCACTATTTTTGTTCTATCATCCGGCTTTCGTACTGACTTTTTCTTTCATAATCCTTTATATATTAGATGGCCTTGCGCTGATCACCCTGGTTGACCAGGCCTTCTGCATGTAGGGGCTGCTGAGTCCAGAGGAAAGGGAGCTCGTGAACGGCGCTCTTCGTTCAGAAGGGGAGGAAATTGACTCTCTTAAAACAGAGATTTTTTCCAACCTGGGCGACCTGATTCGAACTGAGGGGGTTCTACAGGGCGTCCGGGCAAATACGGCGGAGGTAAAAATCCTGCACGCCATAGACCTTCTTCCCGACGAGGGCGCCCCGGACCTGTTGTCTTCTACTTTTCGCGAGATAAGGGATTCCTTATCCGCGGAAGGGGCGCAAAGCAGGTTTTTCCGTAGGGCCGTGGACACGCTCTTGGAAATGCAGGCAAATAGGGTTTCACGCGCCGAACTTTCGGCCGGTGCCCCCCTTCGTTGATCTGGTCGGGCGCTAGCGCCCTTTTTCGTTTGTGCATCTTTCTTTCTCCCATGCTTTCCGTTGGTCAACAACCAACAAAAGTGCTCTATAGTTCTTCACTACTCGTACAGGAAGGAGTCTCTTTCTGTCTGGAGGGAATCATTTTTTCTCAATCAAGAATGCCTCAACTGGATAAATTCACTTATTTCACACAATTCTTCTGGTTATGCCTTTTCCTCTTGACTTTCTATATTCCCCTATTCAATGATGGAGATGGAGTACTTGGGATCAGCAGAATTCTCAAACTACGGAACCAACTGGTTTCACACCGGGAGAACAACATCCGGAGCAACGACCCCAACAGTTTGGAAGATATCTTGAGAAAAGGTTTGAGCACCGGTGTATCCTATATGTACAACAGTTTATTCGAAGTATCTCAATGGTGTAAGGCCGTCGACTTATTGGGAAACAAGAGGAAAAGAACTTTGATCTCTTGTTTCGGAGAAATAAGTGGCTCACGAGGAATGGAAAGAAACATATTCTATTTGATCTCGAAGTCCTCATATAGCACTTCTGTAAATCCTGGATGGGGGATCGCTTGTAGGAATGACATAATGCTAATCCATGTTCCACACGGCCAAGGAAGCATCGTTTTTTAATCTCATTATGACTTGGTCGTCCGGAAGAGATTCTTTCTCCTCGATCAGAATAGTGTCATGGAAGGCACTACAAGAAAGATATACTCCTTTTCAAATCGCCGAAGACGGACGTTCAGAAAGGTTCTCGAGATTCTCCATTTCTCTAAAGCAAGCAAGCATACCAATACTGAGTAGGTAAAGGATGATGAATATGGAGTTCCCACAGGGGAGGAATAGTGCGGGAAGGTCACGATACCAAGCCTAGCCACTAGGAGAGTCCGCCCTTCCCACGTGTCAAGTTTCATAAATGAATGCAGCCTCAACCAGAGAGATCAACCTGCGCCTTTCTTTTAGGCCGCCGGCGGCGCAGAACGAACTAATCCTAGACCAGCAAGTTTTCCGAAACCGAACTGAATGGAATTGTTACTTTCCTAAAATGCTTGCTGAAAATCAAAGAAAGAAGGCCCATTTTCCCACGTAGTTCGTCGGTCAAACCAACGATTCTCTTCTCAAAGTAATAGAGAGCTCTTTTTCTAGTTAGACTTCTATCAATGCAATGAAAGAACCATCCCTTCCTATTTCTTTTTCCTGTCAGATAGAAAGAAAATCCCCCAAGAGCCCTTCTTTACCACTTTAGGGGGTGAAGGGGGGTTTACATACAACCGAGAGGCAAAGTGGTTGATGA